AAAAAAAAAAAAAGAAAGTAAAATTAGAAAGATATATAATGGTTCTGATTACGAGTATAAGGACAACTTTGAACAACAATACCACCAGCCAAAAAAATTACACTAGCAAGTATCCATGACCACAACTAAACGACGAAATTGATTCATTATGCATCTGGGGAGTTTCCAGAATTCATCTTATCATAAAATGCATATAGCTACATTTCAACTGACCACGATACCGCTCTTTCACAAAGTCAATTTAGGGAGTAGTATATTTTTTCCAGTGGCATCTATTTTAAGGAAGAGCCAAGAGAATTTACAATTGAAACAAGAACTAATTAACATCTCCTTAGTCTAGGAATAACCGTGTAAGACTATCTTAATAATGTGTTGGACGGAGTGAAAGAAAAGCTCCATTTATTTTGTTACTGTGTGACTTCTTCAAGTCAAATAAGGTTTCTCTCCATAGCTTTGATATAGCATGTTCTGGATTAGTTCTTCAAAGAGGACATTTCTGGTCTTGTTCTCTCTAACAACTTGGCTTTTAAGATATTCTCACCTGCAAGTCATTCTTTTAACTTGTGCTAAAGTTGAAACTTATGTTCAGTTTATTTTCAGCATACTGTTTTGCAAAATCTCACAGATTTGTACAACTTATCGAAATTTGGAACCAAATATTTCTTTCCTACTCTATGGACTGCCTCAGTAAATTAAGCGCGCAACTGAAGCGTCACCAAAAAAGCTACGTCGTTTTCTTCTAAATTTCTCCACAAATAAAGTCACTGGTTCTTAGGGGCATTTACATCTTTTGAAGATTAGAGCAGCCATAGTTTTAAATGGCAGCACCATGGAGAGAGCGCAGGTGAAATCGCAAATCCCAAAGCTCAACCTTCTTTGCCTATATTTTTTTTCTATTTCTCTTTCTATTATTTATTTTCAATTTTTTCTTCTTTTTTTTTTTAAAAAAAAAGCTTTTATTTTAAATATATCTTTCAGTGCCTATTTTTTTTATTTTTCTTTTAGTTTATATTAGTTATGTTTAGATATTGTTTTGGGGGTTGCAATTCTATTTTTTGATTGCTAACGATAGTTGTCACTTGTGTTCTTGTCTTCTTGGGGATATTTGAGGTTGATTTTGTCATTTGCATAGTAATATGTAATTGCAATATCTAACTTAATGTATTTTCACACACTTCGGCCTCTTATGTTACCGAGGCCTCACCGTGGTCTCACGTCTAACCTCGTGGCCATCCATAAACAAATCGCCATTTGTACTTCCAAAATTATGACAGCAGCAATTAAACTTTCCGTATAAAAAAGTTTGTTGGAACAAGACCTCGATGAAGGAAAGATTGAAATTTGGGAGCTAAAAAAGCTGCAAGATATATCTTCCTTACTCGAATACAACTACTTATGAGCTCTATAGACTATATTCCATCCATGACACACCCCAGGGTCTAAATTACCTCCCGAAAAGTGTTTGTTATCATTCTAACCATACAACCTGAATATTTCCACTAAAATGATTATCAAGAAAAATTTCTTTATACGTATTTGTTTGTCAAAACCTTGAATTTTACCTGGCCATCCATGCCACTAATCCCTGCTGCAGCATCTTCTAGAGTTGCATACTTGACGAAACCAAAACCCTTTGAGTAACCATTTACACGATCAGTCACCACTTTAGCTGCAACAGAAACAAGGGTATTAGGATTTATTGCCCGCCCCACTGAAAACACCCCTTATGAAAAGAAAAGGAATATACCCTGGACTACTTCACCAAATTTGGCAAAGGCATCACGAAGGCCTTCTGTTGTTGTACGTTTGCTAAGTCCTGAAAACTCACAATTTGAAACATTGTTAAAATGATCTCATGAGTGGTCAGTTCAGGACAAATTCAAAGATGTGACAAAGCAAAGTCTCAAGCAAGAAAACACAAACATAATAAAGGACAAAGACATTGGAAGCACTCAAGGAGTTTGATGTTTGGATCGAGTGACTCGCAAAATATATAATCAATACACATAACGCGTAATGTGATAACTGATAACACTGAAACTATAAAGGAACAATGTGGAAGAAACTTAAGATGCTACCTTTTTCATGCTACACAAGAAGGAAACATGCATAACCCATAAAAGTAGCCTTCTGTAACGGCAACCAACGGTTCATGATTCTTCCAATGCATCATGAAAATTTAGCATCTCATATTCTACTAATCATAAGATCATATCAAATTCTTGAACTCATCACAACTGGGCATAAACAATTTCCAAAGAAGAAGAACAAATATGTGACGGTTAAAAGTGTACGTAAGAGAAGTTGAACCCAAGGAATGACAAGTACTCAAACGTTGGAAAGACTGCAACTCATAACAATTTGTTGCAGGCATTTGTTAGATTTGAATAATTCAGATTAATTTCACTGAACATATCTCTTTGCATCTACAATGTAGGGAGGGAATATAATTCACATTTGACTAAAAAATGAGTGTTACAGTGTACAGGCATGAAAGCTACTAGCTATAGCAATTTGCATTTGTGGTATTAAAATGGAAAATTGGGAAAAGTAGTTTATATCTCTGTGACAGTGAATGAATATAAGACAAAAAAAATGTAAGGGATTAGAATTAATATTGTACTAAAATAATAAAATACTAATTCACAGTGAATATGAGAGAATGAATAGTGAATAGTGTTTTTAGTTGGAAAAAAAAAATAATAATGTTCGATTTTCTTTTTTTATTTTATTAAGTCTATTTCCAACCGAAAAACTTATTCTCAAACCCGTTTTTATTTGTAGTCATCAAACACTAATTCATCTTCAACCAAAAAAACTCATTTTCAAACGTACAAGAACAATGCCTTTTACATCAATTTTTACAACTTTTCAATACTACCCACGTATATAACTGTGAGGATGGCATACAAGTAACAGAAGCTCAACAATAAGCAAATACGAATAAAATCTGCAACCTGAATTAGAAAGACAAGAGAAGATTTCGAAATTTGAACCGGAACAATTCGTATTCCTTAGTCAGACTCACGGGCATATATTTCGCTTAAACAAAGGCGCGAAGTGAATATAGAACTAACCATCAAACGAAATAATTACGAAGATGAGAGAGAGAGAGGGGAGAGAGAGAGAGAGAGAGAGAGAGAGAGAGAGAGAGAGAGAGAGAGAGAGAGACCAGAGACGAAGAGATTGGTGGAGGGTTCGGCCTTAGGAGGCTTGTCGACTGTAGCCTTGGGCAGATCAAAGGGGAAACTTGAGAAAGAAGAGTACAAACCCCTTAATCCCCTTCCTATATGCGAATTGGCAGAAATCGCCGCCGTCGCCGCCGCTCTCATCGCCATTTCTTGGTTTCTTTAGATTGCGTCGGCGGTGGGGTTTAAGAGAGATTTCCAGATTCAGGAAATGTCAAATGGGTTTAAACCTTCCAAATTACGTAATTTTATTAGTTTTGCTGGGCTTGGGCTTCTTGATCTTTGTCGGCCCAGATCATCGTCTCTTTGATGAGTCTTTTGGGCGAGCACTTTCCCTCCTGTTCCGCCTTTCGTCTTTTGACTAAATAAAGTAGGGAAAATTAC